AATGACTATAGTATACAATATACGATTCAGAAATATAAATACAATCAAATGCTACAAATAATTGTCTATAATATTATATTACGGTGGGTATTTTCGATAATACAAAAATAGAAAGTAACGGCAATTAGGATTAGCGATGATTTTTTTTTGATTGGATATAGGTGAACATTCATAATTTACATAAAGTCATTAAAAATTAGCATTTTCACTCATAAGTTAATTGGATTATTAAAATTGTTTATTGTTCATAGTGTAAGCTACACAAAAAGTGTGACAGGCGTTTAAAAATCAATACATAATATAGAATAGAAATTAAAGCCTCGTAACTCAGATCTCATTCCATAAATAGAATTAAGCAACAAAATAAATTACTATACTTTTCTGACTTTAAATGTTCGCACACATGGTGCCAGATAATCTGTCCACTTAATTAGGATTGGTGGTTGCACTTCTGGTCTATCCAGATTGCTTCCAACATATCCTTGCTTCGACCTACCGAAAGCCATTTTCCGACAGGATACTGATAAAGTTAGCTGACATTAATTATAATTCGGCCGATTTTAATCTGTATTAATTCTTTCATAAAATGGTTTAGGAAAATCGTATGTATAGTAGTCTCATTGCTTATCCATCTTTCAATATACCCCCAAAAATATAATCCAGTGATCGCTATGCATTTGGAAGCGATTAACAAATTCTTTCGTTCTCATCTTTGATGATCAGTGATTATCATTTCATCAACCCAATTAAAAATCCTAAGAAAAAAATGAAAATGCTAAAGTTCCAGTGAGTAGGCATGCAAATTTACTTCGAGTCACCAATATTTATGCCTAAAAATCATGTTTTGACTATGATTTGTTACGGCATTCGTTAATGCACCTACGCACATAGTCACTTTTGGTTTGTGCTTTTAAATAATCTGAACTGAATTTTTTTAAAATTGATCACAGCCTAGAGGATCAAATTGTACCAGATTTAGAAGGAAGTACTACACATGCTCTGTGAAGTTCCTACATGCATTCACTCATTTGCTATACCATACGCTCTTATCGGACGTACATCATTTAATTTGCAATATAACCATACACTTAGTGAAATTTTCAATATCACCCCGTTCATGGTACATCAATTTATATTATAAGAGATGCATAAGTGGTTAACCTGACCTGAAAAGTCAAAGTTAATACAACATTGGCAATCAAAAAAATTTTTGAATGAGTTAGTTAACGCGGTTCGGTCATCATTATAATTAATGATTGAAAAATGAGAAAACGAATTTTGTTAATCGCAAGCTTGGAAATGTATATAAATAGATGTTCTTCCCAACAACAGCTTGACAATAAATCATCATAAACATATTTATTAATTTCTTCAATCCTTCCCCGAGGACAACAAATTTTTGCAGTACTTAAGATTGCCCTTCCCTCGCGTAATATCCTCCCTTTCTTCCTGAAAGATCAATAAGAAAAAATGATGCTTTCTCAACTGTCCATGATATCAACTCTTCTTTTGGTTGTGGTCACGACCGTTGCTATAGGATCACCGGTGAAGACTATCGATAGTATAGAACTTGAATCTATCGAGAGTATCAAATTTCAAATGAAGCCTGGTAATCAGACTTTGAATCGACGTTACGTAGTTGGAGTTCCGGGTGTTCCTCAATGTCCGGATAACCGATTCCCCAATTTGATGTATTCCTTCTGCTTTACCGAAGATAAGATTCGGTCCGTGTGCGAGTCCGCTGATTTCCCAGGGACCATCGCGACGAACGACGTTGATTGCCCCGAGGAAACTACCTGCGTGGATCTTATAGCCAATGATCAATCCCCCTACGCATATTGCGTCCATAACGATAACATCAGGCGTTGGAGCAACGGTCACAATGATGGCATCGTCTGCACCGACGAATTTCTAATTAGTAATGCCAATGGGTTCGTAACGATGGGGGTCACCGTATATGATGTTAACCGCAATACAATTCAGGTTAACGAAATGTACTATTACGAAGGAGAATCGTCTCAGACCAGGTATACTACCCACAACATATCCCTGATTATAGATTACCACGAGGGTGAAACTTTAAAGGCGTGCATGGAAACCGGTACAGATAACACAGTGTGGGGTGTGACTGGCGGACTTATCGGGAGTCTTTAGTAAGGAGATTTGCTCGCTCGCTCGCGTTTTCGTTTTATATAAAATTAAAAAAAATCATTACAGAAAGAAGATTAGATTTATAATTTAAATTAATGTTTTAATTACAAATACAGAATAAATAATTTATTTACTTGAATTTTTGTTATAGAAAGAAGATTAGATTTATAATTTAAATTAATGAATTAATTACAAATACAGAATAAATAATTTATTTACTTAAATTTTTGTTATGAACTCTACGTTATGTGCAAGTAACGAATTTTTTATTCA